ACTCAGTGAGACCCTATCTCTAATTAAAATACAAAATAGGGTTGGGGATGTGGCTCAGTGGTGGAGTACCCCTAAGTTCAATCCCTAGTACCCAAAAAAAAAAAAAAAAAAAAATAGAGGACCATTTCTTAAGAAAAGTAGACAAATTGCACATTGCTGCTCATCTGTGAAATACTAAATAGCCTCTTAGTTCATTTTTTTGTTGTAACAGAATTCTCAAGACTGGGTAATTTAGAAAGAAAAGTTTATTATGGCTCATGATTCTGGGGGCTGGGAAGTCCAAGTGCATGGTGGAGGCATCTGCTCAGTTCCTGATGAGGGCTCCATGGCAGAAGGACAGGCAGCATGTACAGAAGTGAGAGCCAGGAAAAGCAAAACTCGATTTATAACAAGCCACTGTGGCGTAATTGATCCACTCCCAACTAAAGCTAGGACTCACTCCGACAGGAAGGCATTAATCCATTCATAAGAGCCCTGTCCCTGTCACTCAGTACCTCCTGCCAGGCCCCAACACTGCTGCTGGGGGAACCAGGCCTCAGCATGCATTTTGGTGGGAACAAACCATATTCAACCACAGCAACCTGGAGGAGAATGAATCCAAATGTTAGCAGCGACTGTTTCTGACTGTACATGCATTGATTTATAATTTTGCTGGTGATAGACTTAATTTCCTGCAGTGACCTCTCTTCTAATTGGGAAAGTTTTTTTTTTTTTTTCTAAATATTTTTAGTTGTAAGTGGGCACAATACCTTTAGTTTTATGTGGTGTTGAGGATCAAACCCAGTGCCTCACCCATGTGAGCCACCTGCTCTACCACTGAGCTGCAACCCCAGCCCCAAATTGGGGAAGTTTTTGAACTGGAAATTGAGAAAAAAGAAATAGAAAAAAAGTAAAAAAAATCAAGGAACATTCTGAAGCAGTACAGAAGCAAGGGAGACAAGTGCTAGCAAATGCAATGCCAACTGTACTGTAGCAATAACTGTACTACGAGCGCAGGGGCTCAAATATGGGACTTCTGAACATGCACAGAGACTCAAACACATATGTGCTTTCATGTCCATGTGAGTGAAAGAGTAATTAGTAGTGCTGGTCAGGTAATTTTAAAGATAACATTCACATATTGAACTTTTTGTATTTTATTTTGAGACAAGGCCTTGTTAAGTTGCCGATGCATTGAGCTTATAATCCTCCAGCCTCAGCCTCCCAAGCTGATGGGATTCCAGGCGTGTGCCACCATGCCTGGCTCTTTCTATTTTTCATTTTGAGGTAGAATCTCATTAAGTTGCCCAGGTTGGCTTGGACCAAAGTTAAGCGTGAATCATGGCTTGGAATAGTTCACATAAAATAAAACATGAGAGACTGGGGATATAGCTCAGTTGGTAGAAAGCTTACCTTGAATGCGTAAGGCCCAGGGTTTGATTCCCAGAAAAACACACACACACACACACACACACACACACACACACACACACACACACACTTTAATAGTTGTGAGGAAACAGAGCTTCACAATGGATTTTCATATTCCTTATAGTTAGGCCCAAACTAAGCGTGTTTTGTGGATGTGTGGATATGCACATGTCACTGCCTTCATGGACCAATATGTGAAAGAAAAAGTATGAGAAAATAAACAGTACTTGTTATGTAGGGATTATGGGTGAATTCTGCTTCCTTTTAATAATGTAGAGGTTTTATTTGTAGCAAAAATTTATTTTCAACCAAGAAAATTGCTCTGGAGCAATAAAAGTATTTTTCTAAGATAGGGAGCAATTGCTTTGGAGAGCAGTGTTAATGACTGTACATTACACAAGCTGTTTCATTATTGGGATATGCCAGGTATGGGATCAGACTGGCAATGTCAGTCACCCAGGTAACTGCCAGTCTATGACAGCTCCCAAAGAGCTGAGAAGCTGCTGCTGCTGAAATGATGAAGGAGTAAGCTGTAGAATCAAGTCCATCTCATCATTTTAACCTTTTCTTCTTCCAGGTTGGTGGCACCAAGGCTGGTGTTGTCCGGTTTCTTGGGGAGACCGACTTTGCCAAGGGGGAATGGTGTGGTGTGGAGCTGGACGAACCTCTTGGGAAGAACGATGGTGCCGTCGCTGGAACGAGGTTAGTTGGGATTCTTGAGGTTGTGTCTTCCTCTTGTGTGTGAGGCAGCTCAAGCTACTGTCCGTGTGCGTGGTGCAATAGGAACGAGTGTTCTGAAGAGCTGTGCTTTTGTTTCCCGAGACCCTGCTGGAATTTGATTGTCTCTTTAGTAAAGTTTGATACATCTTGATAGATTCTGAACCAGTGCAGCAGTTGTTTCTTCTTCTCTCTCTCTTTTTCCCCAGTACTAAGGATTGAATCCAGGGTGTTCTACCACTGAGCTATATATCTCCAGCCTTTATTAGTATTTATTTATTTATTGGTATTGGTGATTGAGCCCAGGGGTGCTTTACCATTGAATCGCCTCCCAGCCCATCTTCTATTTTATTTTGAAGCAGGGCCTTGTTAAATATGTGAGGCTGTCATTGAGCTTGCAGTCCTCCTGCCTCAGTCTCTTAAGATGATGGGATTATAGGTGTGTGCTACTGGCCATTTTTATTTTTTATCTTTTATCTTTTATCTTTTTAAATTTGTTTTAATTAATTAAACATGACAGTACAATAATCTTGACATACCATACATTTGAATCAGATGGGGTATAATTTCTCATTTTTTTGAGTTTTATTTTTTATTTTGAGATAGGATCTCGTTAAGTTGCACAGGTTGAGCTTCAACCTCTTGCCTTGGCCTCCTTAGTAGCTGGGATCGCACTCCTGTACCACCTAACCTAGTTTATTTTTCAAAATAGGAAACATCGTGCTATCCTTCCTCCTTTTTTTGGGTACCAGGAATTGAACTCAGTTATTGAGCCCTAGCCCTATTTTGTCTTTTATTTAGAGACAGGATCTCAATGAGTTGCTTAGTGCCTCACTATTGCTGAAGTGAAGAGCTTTGAACTCGATATCCTCCTGCCTCAGCCTCCTGAGCTGCTGGGATTACAGGTGTACGCCATCACACCTGGCTATTTCTTTCCCTTTTGATAGCAAACTATAGAAGTTCCTACAAGTTCTAGGACATCTGGGGGTGGGATGGAGAGAAGAGAAGGTAACTGTCTTTGTTAGGAAAAGAACTGAATTTGTGTCTTCCTGTCTGATGAGAATTCCATCCTTTGACGAGAGAGCCATGGTCCAGGAACCACTGCCTCTGGCCTCCAATACCTGATGGGAGTCAAAGAGCAGCACAAAGGAGTGCAAGAGGGATTTCTCTGCTTACTTTCAAATGTTTTGGAGGCCTTGGGCACTGTGACAGGGGATGCATCATTTTTTTTTTTAGTTATCAATGGACCTTTATTTTATCTATTTATATGTGGTGCTGAGAATCCAACCCAGTGCCTCACACATGCTAGGCAAGCGCTCTACCACTGAGCCACCACCCAGCCCCGGGGATGCACATTGTTAGTAGTATACAGTATATTTAATGCTTCCCTTGATCTTTGAAGTGTTGTGGGTAACATTCTACTTGTAGGGCACGCACAGTTGATTGTACGCATGTGGGCTTAATCTGCCAAATATAATGACTTGTGGATGACTTGTGGAGATAACAACCTCTTGGTGGGTGCAGCAGTGGTTCTGAAACCACCTGTTCTTGATGTTAGACCATCATTATTCTCAAGGATGAAGAGCTCTAAGGTTGTCCAATAGCTGACATTACTAGAATTTCTCCATGTTGACTTGGTGGATCTGGCAGTCAAGACTTGTGTGCTTTTCCCCTTTGTGTGGCCTGGCTTTATTAAATGGGGACACTGTATTGTTGAGCTCCTCTGCTGTACATTTACCAGGTGGTAGAAATATTATGTGTTGAACCTGAGCTGCTAATGAACAGCGTGCTGCCATGCTGTTCCCAGCATACCACCTGACACTCACCTACACAGGTGGGAAAGCCACCTGCCCAGCTTCCAGGTGCAAGTCCCAGCACACCAGGCACACTTACTTTGGAGAGCCTTTCTGTTACAGGTGTTACTTTTTGTAATTAAATTGTTTTTGTTGCTGTTCTTATTGTTCTTCTCTGAAGGTATTTTCAGTGTCAACCCAAATATGGCTTGTTTGCTCCGGTCCACAAAGTGACCAAGATTGGCTTCCCTTCCACTACACCAGCCAAAGCCAAGGCTGCCGCAGTGAGGCGTGTGATGGCCACCACGTCTGCCAGCCTGAAGCGCAGCCCGTCCGCCTCCTCCCTCAGCTCCATGAGCTCCGTGGCCTCCTCTGTGAGCAGCAAGCCCAGTCGGACAGGACTAGTAAGCCTCCCTTCTTCTTAGAACTCTGCCTCCCAGGCACTGTGCTGCCCCCTGCGGGCGCCCTTGCTCTGCTTGTCCCTGTGCTGAGTGCTGGCCGTGGCTTGCTGCCAAGGGCTGTGCAAGTAAGCTGTTAACATGCCAACTCCAGCTGGAATGTAGCTTTTGACAGAAGAAGGGTTTATAATAGCGCTTTTCAGATTCTTTTTTGTTTTGGTATCAGGGATTGAACCCAGGGTCACTTATCCACTGAACCACATATGTAGCACTTTTTAGTTTTTGAGACAGGGACTTGTTGAATTGCTTAGGGTCTTGCTAAATTCCTGAGTCTGGTCTTGAACTTGCAATCCTCCAGCCTCAGCCTCCTGAGCCACTGGGATAGATTCTAAGTCATAGATTCCAAATAGCTCTAAGTGTGCACCACCACATCTGGCTAGGATTCTTAGACTTAAAAATCTACCAGTTTTTGGTGAATCCATTGCAACTACTGCTTAATTTCTTCTCTGAAATTACTTTGGGCCAAAGTGATGGGAAGGTTTGGAGGATCTTTTTTCTCAAGTGTGGTCTCTTTCTCTTTTCTTCAAATATTTTTAGGAACTAAGTATTTTGAGAAAAGCTTGTTTTTTGGATTTTAATATTATATTAAAACAATCTGGCTCCCTGAAAGCAGTCAGTGTGTAACATGTTCCTGGCATGGCCAGAGAGTGCAAGGAAAAGCTACATCATGATGCCTCCTCCCTCTCCTGGCCCTCTCTTCTCCTCTCTTGACCCTTATCTCCTTCCCCTTTTGCTCATTCAGGGCAATGAAAATAGGTTCATCAGAGTCACAATGGCACCTTGATCTTCTTGTTTTTTTGTTTTTTTTTTTAAAAAATATTTATTCTTTAGTTTTCGGCAGATACAACATCTTTATTTGTATGTGGTGCTGAGGATCGAACCTGGGCCGCATGCATTCCAGGCGAGCGTGCTACCGCTTGAGCCACATCCCCAGCCCTGATCTTCTTGTTAACATGGTATTCTGTTGGAGCCAAGAGCAGTAACTCTAGGCCTCATCCCCTGCCTTTAAATGTATTTACTTGAGGTGAGGCAGATGCCTTTGACATCAAAAGTGGCAGCATGAGGTTCTGTTCCAGAGTGAATTCAGCGTCTCTGCTTCATGAGGGTGAACGCCCTTGACCTCATTTTCTCGGGACCGAGAAAGGAGAGGACTAGACTCTTTAGGTGGGGTTGGACTCTTCTGCCAGCCAGCTGGAGTTTTCCCCTTTTATGTTCAGGTAAAATAAATACCACGAGGACTATTTCAGTTTGCATATGAAAAAAAGGACTGCATTCTCAACAGAAAAATTACAAATGGATTCTTAGGAGGAAAGTGTGACCAGAATGAATTGGAGGTGGATGAAAACCCCTTTGTTTGGGCAAAGCCTTGTTCAGAGAGGGTCTGCAAGCTCCAATATGGATGTCATTTCTTTGGGAAATACCAGCCCCTCCTGCTCCTACCGGTCTTTCTTCTTACTTAGGCAAGTTCTGATTTCTCTTAGCTTACCTCATTTAGTAAGGAAAATTCGTGAGAGATGAGTCTCCTTGCCCTGTGATACAGCCTGTCTGTGTGTTTGTGTAAGGTAGCTTTAGTTCCTTCCTTTCATTTTTTTCCCCCCAGTGGTGCTAAGGATTGAACCCAGAGTCTTACACATGCCAGTCAAGTGCTCTACCACCACCTCAGCCCAGGGTGGCTGTAGTTTCTGAATCAGAAATAACCATGAATGAAAATGACAAGAATATAAAATAATTAAAAGTGTCTTTTTGACTGTATTGCTCAGAGATGCATTTCTGTCCCAGGAAAATAGAAGCTGAAAGAAAAATTAATGTTTTAAATTCATTTTTAATAATCACAGTGACATACTGTGCCCTGTTGTTCTGGCACTTCTTGTCAGTCTTTAGATTTACCATCTCCACCTTCATTTGCTGGGCTGCACTGATTTTTGCACAGGACTTGTTTTTTATGTTGGCAGTGGCCAAAACCCAGTTTTGCAAAGATGGGGAGCTGTGGAAAGAATTGGAATGCGGTATTGAAACCAAATCGCTTCTGTCCACTTGTTTCCAGGGCGTCCAGCAGATATTCTGTTTCCCTTGCCGTCTGAAAGCTTCCTGCACGACCCTGTGTGTTTGCAGGAGCCCTCTGGGCATCTCTGTACCTGGTTTGGGACCTTACATTTAATGTATACAAGAAGAGATGTTAGCTACATAAGAGATGTTATAACTGAATAATTTAGCCATATCATGAAAGTAGAAAGTCAGGGTCAAATGGTTAAAAGAATAGGAACTCCCTCCCTCCAATATGTTTAAACTAATTCCAGAAGTTTCACTAAATGAAATGGCAAAAAGCAATTTGGATTTGACCAGATCCCTTACTCTTTATATAGTTACCAAATCGCTGAATTATTAATTTTGAAAGATCTCATCAGTCTACATCCTGCAGTGAGGCTCAACAGACTGACTGAAGAGCACTCAGGCGACAGCGGAGCTTTGACTGCAGAAGGTGGAGTAAAGGCCAAGTAGCCCTGGAGCCGGGCTCTGCTGAAGGCCTTGGACAGGGCCGCAGGCAGAGCCATTTGCTCACTCCTCCAGGGTCTAGCGCAGAGGAGCCCTCAGTTCTTCCAGTCACCTGCCATCAGTTAGCAGTGCATCAGTTAGCAGTCTTCTTTGGGATTTTACGTGACTTTAGCCCAAGGTGGAGGATTAGATATAAAATAGCAGAAGTTAGCAGATGGCAGCCTGATGGTCCCGGTCCGTCTCTCTTCCCTTGTTTTCTTTCTTTGGTCTCCTGTTTCTCACGTGTTTCCCTTTAGCCTATTTTTCTTTGTCCATAAACTTCTCTCTTCCCCTCTCCCCATCTGCTTTCCCTTCCATTCTTGTCTGTGTGTCACACCCAGACACCCCACTCAGTCACACAGGGCCATATGATTATGAAAGCAGGTACCGTTATCTGCCTCTATGCTGGTTGGGGAACAGGGCTTGAAGTGGATTCCTGGTTGAGATCTCCCATGTCGTTCCTTTCGAAAGAAGGATGAAGATTTCTGACAAAAAAACAACTATTTAATCAGTTGAAGAAAAGTTTGTGACTCCAAGGGTGACTTCTTCAAATCTTAATGGTATTTAGAAGATTAAGAAGCTTAAAAAGGTCTCAACCTCAAGTCTAAGGATCAAAAGATTGGCCAAAACATCATCATGAGAAGATAACTGTTGCACAGGCTGAAATAGAATCTAGAGAAACTTGTTAAATGGGTCCTGTGGGATTTTTCTAGATTCCTACAAGGCCCAGTCAGCCAAGCCCAGAGTGCTTGTGATTTGAGCCATGTGGTCTTCAAAACGCCTTCTGGATTGTTCCCTGGGCTCATTGTGCTGATGTGAGGATCACAGGCAAAGGTTTATGCTGTCTTTGTTTTCTTGCTGAGAACCTTGCCTAGCACTTGGCAGACCCTCGAGCCAACCGTGTGTGCTCTTGCTTTGCTGAGGAGATGCCCGCCATGCATGCCTTGCTCCCTGCTTGTCTCCCTGGTAGCGCCATGGCCCTTCACTTCTCTAACTTTCCTTTGCAGTTGACTGAAACCTCCTCCCGCTACGCCCGCAAGATCTCAGGCACCACTGCCCTCCAGGAGGCGCTGAAGGAGAAGCAGCAGCACATTGAGCAGCTGCTGGCTGAGCGGGACCTGGAGCGGGCCGAGGTGGCCAAGGCCACCAGCCACGTGGGGGAGATAGAGCAGGAGCTAGCCCTGGCCCGGGACGGGCATGACCAGGTGAAGACTGGCGCTGACCTTGTTGTGGAGATGGTGATGGTTCCTAAATTGAGTGAGGAGGTGGTGCACCTGGTGCTTGGAGCCAAGAGCTGGTCTTGAGAGCACCGCGTGTCAGCTTTTGGGTTGAGTTCGTTTGAAAGCTGTGATCTGGGTGCAGTTTTTTGTTCTTCTGATTCGTCCTCAGCCTTTTGGTCTTTATTTCCAGGCCTCTGGGCCTGTTGTGTTAAGCCACTGTTCACTCAGGCTTTGGCAGCCATCCTAGCTCCCGTTTGTCGATTATTATTGACATGCGTTTCAGCTTCAGAAAAGAGGAGAGTCGGCTAACTGTTGCCCTTTGTTGATTTTTATGGTGGTTTTTTCATCATGTAGTTTCTCGGAAAGCTGCTGAGAATAACCTATTAAGGTAGAAAGCATTTGGAGATGACAGGGTTTTAGAGTAATGCCCACCCAACATGGTAACCCTTACCAGTAGCTGTTTGGAGGACCCCGGGCCTGTGTCTTGGTCAGAATGTGGCCACTCACTCTCCTCCTTGCTTCTCCAGCATGTCCTGGAGCTGGAAGCCAAGATGGACCAGCTGCGAACCATGGTGGAAGCAGCCGACAGAGAGAAGGTGGAGCTTCTCAACCAACTGGAGGAGGAGAAAAGGTGATCCCTAACTGTCTTTGAGTGCAAGTGTGCTTTTCCTTTTAAATGATCTTAGGAAGAAATTTCCCAGCAACAACCTTCTTGTTCACCTTCAGAACCAAAGGGATGAGTATGTTCAAAAGAAACCCAACACACTTCCTGCAGATAAAGAGAGTGTGCTTTGTATTTTTTATTTTTGGCAATACTGGGGATTGAACCCAGAGGTGCTTGCTCTACCACTGAATTGCATCCCCAGCACCCCCTCCCCTTTTTTTTTGTGCTGGGGATTGAACCCAGGGCCTTGTATGTCAGAGACAAGCATTCTGCCAACTGATCTACAGTCCCAGCCCCCTTTTTATTTTTTATTTGAAACAGTCTGGTTGAATTGCTTAGACTGGCCTCATACTTGTGATCTTCCTTATTCTCCAAGTAGCTGAAGATGCACTTTGATTTGACATTTTTTAAGAAGTTTGGATTCATTTAGACATGACCTGATTAACAGATTTATTGAGCTCCCTGTGCAAACTGAGATATCTCCTGATGGTGTCCTTGGTCAGAAATGTGGAGGTAATTCCAACCAGTTTTCACCTGTGGCTGTTCTAGTTCAAGTCATTACTATTTATGAGATATATTATGCCTGATGATTGATGCAAGATCCTAGTCCTTAGGAATTTCTCACATGAGGAGCAACTAGAGAATTATTCAAGTCAGTATGAAATCAAATGCTAAGTGGTGTGAGATAGAGAAATTTGGTTCTTAAACAAGGAGGCTCCTTGAGACCACGAACAAACAAGACCTCTGAGAAGTGTCTATATGGAAACTGTGTGACCATTCCTGGGTTCTGGGAAGCTGTCCTCTGTCCTCTACCATCCTGTCATTTCTGATAAGAGCAACTTAGTTCAGTAATAACAATATTACTGCCTGCCCAGGAAAGTCCCAGGTACATAGTGAGGGCCATACAGGCTTTGCCAAGGCCTGTCTTCCTTACTGGAGACAGAAATATTCAAAAACTGGCTGGCAAGGAGAGATTGAGAGTGCCATTTGCTTCTGTCCCTAAATCACTCTGACTGCAGAAATGTTCCCCAGCTCCCAAATAGTCTTGTGTTTTAACGCATAATGAGAGTTCCCATTTAATTGAATAGGATTTTTTATTCTTAATTTTGGCAGAAGTAACAGTGAATTTGAAGAATTTTGTTTTTTTTTTTTTGCACTTCGAGTGTGAACTTTGTCTCCCTTTTCTTTTTTTAAAATTTGTTTTGTTTTAATATTTTTTTAGTTGTTAATGGACCTTTATTTAATTTATTTATATGTGGTGCCGAGAATTGAACCCAGGGCCTCACACGTGCTAGGCAAGCGCTCTATCACTGAGTCACAATCCCAGTCCTATTTCCCTTTTGTTTGCACCCAATTTTGGAAAGATGCATAATGTGGGACTGAGACATAGTTCAGTGGTAGAGTGCATGCTTAGTGTGTATGCTCCTGGGTTTAATCCCCAGCATCAAAAAAAAAGGTGGGAGATTAATAGTGTGGACATTACTTAGATTTTCTAAATCTTCTGAATATCACTTTATGTAATTGATTTTGTGATGACATAGATTGAAACCATGCCCAGTGTCAGATTTCACAATGTGAGAAAGTAGAAAATGTGCATTTTAGAGTCAAAGAATAGGATTCTTGATGGCTTCCTCCACAAATCATTCTTCACTCCATTCTCCTAACCTTGGAGCAGTGCTGGTATTGCCTTAGAGACAATAAAACTGGGGCCTCTTCTGCATGAGAAGCCTGCTAGCCTCACCTAAACATCTGATATGAGGTGACAGAGAGAGATTTGTGTTCTGCGTCACTCTCCCTTGGCTTCTCTCTTGAAAATTAGGAATAACGCTTGAAGCCTTGAGCCTGTTTCCATGAAAAAGACATTTTCCTCTTAGGCTGGTCATACCTTGTGTACCTGTGTGCAGTACTGGGGACTAGACACAGAGCCTTGCATATGTAGGCAAGTGCTCTACAACTAAGTTGCATCCCAAGATCTTTTTTTTTAAATTTCAAGATAGTCTTGCTGTCCTCAAACTTCCAATCCTCCTGCCTTAGCTTCCCCAGTTACTGGGGTTACAGGTGTTCACCACCATACCTGGCTAGGCTAGTCTTGTTTTGATAGATTCATTCTGTGTTTGTGACCAAGGAAATCAGTTACTTTTTCTCAATTCTTTTTTTTGGTACTTGGGATTGAACCTGGGGGTACTTAACCACTGAGCCACATCCCCAGCCCTTTTTATATTTTATTTTGAGACAGAGTATTGCTAAGTTGCAGGACCTTGCTAAATTGCTGAAGCTTGCCTCAGCCTCCTGAGCCCCTGGGATTATAGGCATGCACCACCACACCCAGCATTTTTCTCAAATCTTAACCTTATGCCTTCTGGAGTTTGTACCTGAATAAAACTTTGGTGTTTTCTAAATAATTAGAGTATCACTATTATAAACTGGAGCCCCCAAAATGCATTTCTTTATTTTTGGGACTCCAAGGTATTCCTTTTCACTTTATTTGAGTTCTCCAGAATACTGATTACAGATTTTGGTGGGGGTACAAGGTAGCCATGGTCCTTAGTTGCTATCTTAAGTGCTTCTTTTTATTTTATTCCACAGGAAAGTTGAGGACCTTCAGTTCCGGGTTGAAGAAGAATCAATTACCAAAGGCGATCTTGAGGTAAACCCTCCCAGCTCCCTAAAATTAAAAAGGGTGCCTGTATTGACAAATGTAGGTGACATACTGTGCCCGCTGACCTTTGTTGCTAAACGTTCAGGAGAGAATGGTCAGCACCCTAGCCTCTTGCCAAGTGGGGCTGTGAGCAAGGCTTTGTGGCCAAGGTGATGGTTCCTGTCTGGAGCTTGAAGTACTTGTGTCCCAGTTCTTGTAGCAGAGTGACATGTTCACTTCTGTGCTCATGTTTCAGAATTCAAAGCTGTGAATTGGATTTCATAAAGTCATAACCTGGCAGTGTGTTCTCAATTTAAAACTATCCTAAGTGAGACTATACTCATTCCTCTAATTATGAGAAATGACATTTTTTTGCGAGGCATTTTTGCCAGGTGACACCCCTGTAATCTTAGCAACTCAGAAGGCTAAGGTAGGAGGATTGCAAGTTCAAGGCCAGGCTCAGCAACTTAGCAAGACCCTGTCTATTTCAAAAAAATCAAAAGGACTGGGGATATAGCTCAATGGTAGAGTGTCACTGGGTTTAATCCCAAGTTCCAAATAAATAAATAAGTAATGATACTTTTTTTGTGGTGCGAGGGTAGAAGTGGCATTTTAAAAGAGCATTTTAAATTTCATCAGAATAGACCATAACAAGGACCATAACAAAGCCTTTGTCAGCTATGTTTTTCAGTTGAGCAGGATAAATCTTGGTAACTCTATAAAAATAAATTATATTGCAATTGTTTGTTTATTTATTTGTTTATTTATTATTTTAAAGGAATCAGTCCTGGGGATGTGATTCAGTGGTAGAGCACTTGCCTAGCACATGGGAGACCCTGGTTTGATTCCCAGCACCATATACAAAAAAAGAAAGTAGTTAGTTACCAGAGCGAAAAAGAAGAGCAAATTTACATTTTAGCTTTTACTTTCGTGGCATATTTAAAATTCATACAAATTTTCCTTTACAGTCAGATATATTGTTTCTTCTTCACAATGATTCATATTAGTTTTGAATTAGACACCAGAATTAATTGGTTTTTGATGCTTTTCAAACCACTGCCAGGTATATGAATACAAATGTAAATTACCAACTTTTAAAAATTTTGCAAATGCTTTATTCTTTTAATCTGTAATATGTTTTAGTAAAAGCTGCACAGGTCAGTGTGGTTCTCAGAAGGTAACATTTTTGCCACCATTACGATTCTTGGGTCCATTGGCTGTCTACACTGGGTTTCAGGGGCCCTTCCCAACAGCAGCTCTGGTTTCTTTGGAAATAAATATTTTCACAGTCAACAAAGAGCAAGGGGAACACTTTTTGAATTCTAGTTTTACAGGATCCAGAACAGAATGGTTTTTAATAATTGTACAGTTGTCTTCCTCATCCATTTCATATACGGTCACATTCCTTCAGTTGACTTTTGTGTTGTTCTCATCCATTTAAAAACACCCCACAGTCTCATTAGAAGTTTCATGTCATCATCTAACTCACATGAATTGTAGCCTCTGGTATTTTGGGGAGGGTTAAGTTAAAATTATGTATCTGCACGAGGCTAGCATAGTCTGTCTGATAAACTTACTTGAAATTAATCAGTCATCTTGAAACTCTAACACATGTTGAAAACTTAGTTCAGTCTCTTTTTTTGTTGTTTACTTTTTTTAATTTTTTTTTTTTTTACTGATAGCAAAAGAGCCAGATTTCTGAAGATCCTGAGAATGTAAGAGGGCACTTCACTGTGTGGATATTTCCCTTGTTAACACAGATTGATTCCAGATTAAAATGCTTATTGATATACTCAAATACTAACTGCATAAGCTGACCTTGGGACATTGACCTTAATATTTCTGTGCATGTGGCTTTCAAAGCAATTATATTTGTGTCCTGAAGAAATTGTATGTAATGATGAAGCTCCACAAATTCACTTGCTTAATTAATAGGCAAGTGCTTGCTTTATAAAGAATATTTGATGAAAGGAAAAAAATTTGTCTGGAGGTCTGGCCTTCTTCGCCTAATCCCTAATGTCTTCTAATTTTAGTAGAATTATTCTGCGAGGGCTGACAGCATAGGACACATTAGATGACTTCCTCGGGAAGTTGTCTGATCTTGTGGGTGAGCTCCAGCACTGATGCTTCACACGCACTCCCCCTGCTGGCCAGCACCTTTAGTGCTATTGACAAGAAGTATAAACTCCCATTTGTAGCTACAGTATATTCCCTAGTTCTGAAACCAGAGGCCAGCATTCTTCAGTGACCACATTGTGTTCTAAATATACTGTCACTTGGACTGGGGATGCAGTTAAGTGGTAAAACATTTGCATAGCATATATGGGCCCTGGGGTTTGATCCCCAGCACCCATCCCGCATACACAAAAAATAAATTTACTATAAGGGAGCTTTTTCTAGTAGCAATGCCTCTGGGCATGCTGTTTTTTCTTCCTTCCTCTGATTGAACATCCAGTATGGCTGGGAGTTGGCTCAGTGGCAAAGTGTCTACCTTGCCTTCTCAAAGCCCTAGGTTTGACCCCTCAGTTCCAAAAAAAAGACAAAAAAAAAGATAAACACCCAATAGAACCTCACCAAAGTGGCATTCAGAGCGCTGCTTCTGGTGTACCCTGCCAGCTGTGAATCCAGTTGAAAAGAACCCCAAAACATTTTGCTTTGATTTACTGGCACAAGAGAGTGAAATTAAAGAATTATTTTTCTTCCTATCACCCTGAAATAGAACACTCGAGTTGGAGTGTTTTAAAGGCCTGGTTCTGAAGCGGTCCTTTCTGTGGAGCTGCTTCAGTGCTCGAGTCTCCTCTCTGCTTCCAGAACAGGCTCAGCTGCTCTGCCCCCGGCGTTGGTGTGCATGGGAACTGCCTCCTGCCTCTCTATGGCTTCTCACGGGCTTTGCTCTCCTTCTCAGGTTCCTGTCCCAGGACTCTCCCCGCAGGAAACCCTCCTGTGTGCTGAGAAAAGCCATCATTTTAAAGGGAGGCTTGTCCTGCTCCGTGTCCCATTTTTCCACGGCCATGACATGGATGTGGATCACTGGCTTCCTGCTGCTAGGGGTGGAAGGCCATGGGCCCCCAGTCATCTATGTGCACGCCCTGTGGGAGGGGGCTGCGGCACTCAGCCGGGACATCTCCACATGGGGGGAATACCACAGTTAATGGCATGCAGTGATGATTTGCCCAGAGGACACTTGGGCAAGTGTCAAGGGGAGAAAGGGGCTGTTGCCTTTTCTTTTTCCTTTGGATTTCAGTTCCTGAAGCTGATTCCAATTCTAGAACTAGATTCTTGTCAAAGTAGATAAGCTGAATGACTCTGTGTGAGGCACATGTTGGACCAAGGTGGGGACTATCCAGGATATTTGGTTCTGATTTTTTTTTTTTTTTTTTGAAGATGAAGACCTGAAGCAGGTGGAGATTTTAAAATATTTTTCACTCACCTTTTACATATCCATGATAGTTTGTTTATGCTTGATTCATAAGCAAAAGTGGCCTCGGAATGCCCTGGAGCCCCTGGAGTGCCGAGGGAGTGAGTGAAGGTGTTTGTAGCCTTGCCTTACATTCACTTCCTATGCTTACTCTGGACTACCTGGAGTCACTTGGTTAAGACTTGTCACTTTTCATTGCCTGTTAATTGTCAAGACTTATAGCGCAGGCTAGTAAGAACCACAAGATATTTAAGTTAATCCAAGTAACCAACAGTTGCCAAGAGCAGCTTGTCAGTGGGCTTGGCCAGAGGATCAATCTGATGGTCCCTGGTGGGGGAGGTGGTTGGGGGAAGAGGCACATTTGGACTGATACATGGATTGCTTCAAATTGGGCAAGATTCTGCTGCACTGGAGCCCACTGGCCAGTGGTTATCTTCTGTCCCCCTAGGTAATCTGAACACTGTGAGTTTGTGGAGCTCCTGACTCATGCTGGGCTCTTCCCCAATCTTTGGTCTGAGTTCAGTCTCCTGCCTTTGTGCTGTCACCATTTCGTACCTCTCTGATCGCTTAGCTGGTAAAAACAACATCATTTTAGGATAAAAGTAAGCCCCTTTATAGTCTGAGCTGAACTATCCCCTGCTCTGAGCTGCTTTGTTGGCCTTTTTAGACTGGAGGGTAATCTTTGTAAAGATTGAGTTTTCTCAATCTTTACTGAGTTTTCTTTATAAATCGGATTCCTTTTTTTTTCTGTCCCTGGAAACAAACAGCCTATGGAAAATCTTGCTGGAGAGAGGTTAGTTTTGGTGGCTCTGTCCCTGTTCTGTGTGAGAGCTTGGCTGGGAGCCTCCCTCAGACCTTCTCACCCATCTGAGCAGAGCCTGCCGCTGTGACTTCCTTAGCTCTAGTACTTGGATGCCCTTTACGAAGACTGGTTCTTGACCTTGATCATGGCACTTAGCCAGGTGCAAGGGTCTGCTCTGCAGACTTGCTGAACACCTGATGATTCATGACCTTGTCTTCTCCACAGGGAAGTGCTAGTGATGATCATGCTGAGAGTCAGTCTGCTTTTTGAAGTCAGGGAGTCAGTTACATACACATTAATATCAAGTAGCCAACATGGGGTGGAGGGAAGATGATAGTTATAGGACTATTAACTATTCTAATTTATGCTGATAAACTTATCAATATAACCTATTTTTGGCTGCATGCATCTGACACTTCATCTTGCCTCGTGTGTTTTCCATTTTTTTCTTTCTCAACAGACTCGCTCATGTCCTCTGCCCACTGTTACCCTTCTGCGCACAGAACCCATCCTCACCTTCCTCCTCATTGCAGTTCCATTCTCTTCCTTCCTCCATGCCCTTTTTGTCCATCCTTTGGCAAAAGGTACTGATGGCTCAGCCTGCATGCCGCTCGCGCTCTCGTGCTGGCATGTCAGGTGGCACTGTTGTGTTCTCTTCCTCTTCCTTTTCACTAACAGACGCAGACCAAACTGGAGCATGCCCGCATTAAGGAGCTTGAACAGAGCCTGCTCTTTGAAAAGACCAAAGCTGACAAACTGCAGAGGGAGTTAGAAGACACTAGGGTAATGGCTTTCACTATCTAATGAAGCAGCCCATTGCGTGTGGGTGGTGGACACCTCGAGTGGCCTTGCGGTTGGCCTGAGCCCTGACTCAGTGGTTCAGCCTACTCAGGAGTTCATGAGCTTACAGCTCTGGTTAGGTATAGATGCTCATATCAGATCTTTTTTCAAAAGAATGAAGACCCCTTCCTTTTGTTAACTCAGCCAAAATCAAGATCAAGATCAGAAACTTCATGAAATATGTGGATACCCACCACCCTCTCTGAGTTTTTTGTATTAGTACCTTGGAGTTCACCTCTCTGGTTTGCCACAAGCAATCAGTTGTCCTCTTGTTCTCATATTCTTAAGTTACTGGATTTTCGAAATAATTGGTTATTCCCTGCCTCTTCCCCTGGCCTCAAGGAGGGGAAAGAAATTGGAACATTAGCTCTTTTTAATGAGAGTTAGGGTCTTTGACCCTGGTGATCTCTCTCTCTCTCTCTCTCTCTCTCTTTTTTTTTTTTTCTTGATAGCTAATCTCTCTCTCTGCACCTCCCTCCTTCCCATCACCCGGGAGATTAAAGTTGGTCAGGAGGGACATGCAAATGGGGAACAGGATGGCTTCTCACTGTCCCCAGCCCACTGTGTTTGACCCTTGGAGCCAGGGCATTCCTCATGTTTTAAGCTTATTTGTATATTAAAGCATCTATAGGATGCTCACATCACGCCACATGCTTCTCTAAGTGCTTTGTAAATTTTATTCAGTCTTGCCATGCCCTAGGAAGTGGGTAGTATTATTGTTCCCATTTTACAGAGGAGGATACTAAGGCACAGAGGAATTAAGCAGCTTGCCCAGGGTCACACAGCTAATGGTAATAGTGGAGCCAGAATTTTCATCTAAGACATTTGGCTCCAGAGTCTGTGCTCTTAACTACCAGAGGATATTATGAAAATAGTTTTGTGCTGAAAGATCTATGAATTAATCAGAATCACTTATGTATAAAAATGTGTTTATATGTAACTTTTAAATCATGAATTTGACTGTGATTGGCCTTAATTTTAAAAATTCAAAAATTACTCTGTCACTGATCAAATTTGGTATCTTCATTTTTTCTTTCAAATTATTAGTATTTATGGGAATTTCTTTTGGTGAGAAATCACTGACCTAAAAACCCAGGTAACTAAGTAATCTTCCTTCTCTTAAATCTTAAGTTTTATTTTTTAAGAAAGAAAATATTCTCAACCTCAAAACTAAAGGTTTCTTATGTGAATTTGGTTTTCAAAAAAGAGAAAACAGTGGTAATTTGGTGCTTTTCTTTGTACTGAGAGCCAAAGACTTGATCTGGGAAATACCAGGGACCAAGTGAGGTCCAGGCCCTTCAATGTGATTGTGCTAAAGTCAGGATGAGTGGAATTTTTAATTTCTGAACTCCTCTCCCATATATCAGTATTGGCAGCAAACAACTTCAGTGCTTTCTTTTTTTGTTTTGGATAAGAAAGCATCCATTTACAGCATAGTTTATCCAGTTATTTCAAATTAAAGTGTACATGATTCCACAATTACGTTTTCTTTTTTTGGTGATACTGGGGACCAAACCTAGCACTTTGTGCATGCTAGGTATATCTTCTGTTATTGATCTTTGCTCTTGGCTTGCCAAGTGTGAAAATAACCAGTGACCTATGTAAGTTTATTATCACCTCCATTCCTTCTCAGGAGCACTTTAGAATTCCTCTTAACAAATTATTCTGGTTCACAAACAATGTGCCTGGTACTGTGAAAATATGAGGGAAGTATAGGACATGAAGGCTAGGGTAGAGCACTTGCCTGTCATGTGTGGAGTCCTGGGTTCCATCCCCACCCAAGGGGAGAAAAAATATGGACTTTTATGGCCTCAAGCTAGTGGGAGAGGCAGATACATAATTTTGACTTCCAACAGACTTTGGGAAATAAAATTAAAAATAGAAGTAGTGCTGTTCCATAAATGAAAATGCCATATAAAAAATAATCACACTCTTATTTATTCCTTTTCCACCTGTTCTTTACTTAGTATTCTCTCCATTTGACTGTTTTGTTATGATCAAGAACAATTACCCTGTTGGATTTAAGGGTTTTATGCTATAGACCTTGTAGTGGAGCTTATTACATTTTTTATTTCTTATTTTTAGGTACCAAATTCTTAGTCTATCCCCTCCCCAGAAAATAGTATGAAAATGAATTAACACCTTTAACCTGAAGCATCTGTAACCATGAAGCTCGGCAGTTCCAGTCAGTTCTGAAATATCTAATGGCTGGTTGTTGCACTTTTAGACTCGCATGCTTTCCTTTCCTTTTCTCCTGTGCACACTATCAGTATCACAACCCACACAGGTACCCAGAGGAAATGAAAGGAACTTTTTTTTTTTTCCCTGTCCCAACAAAGGCAGTATGGGAGAGGAGTCTTAAATTCAGAGGAGTTTTGATCTTGAAAGTTGGGACTCACTGATATTTTTAAATCACTTGTGTTCCCTTCTATTTCCCAGGTTAGTCAAATAATTTTTACATATGAAGCTACCATTTTCCACATAGTGCATGCCCTAAACTGCCTGTCTAACAGGTAGCAGGGAGAATCATTTTCTATGACTGAAAGGGCACAGGTTTAGAAAGTGTTTTTCCTAGCTCTGGGGTGTTTATTTTAAGACCTTTAGAACTTAAATAGAACCCAAACATGTAGGAGTAGCTGGGAACTTGCATTTTTGACATACATTCCAGATGATTAATGGGTTGGGAATCAGTGGGTTGGGGCAACCCGATTTGTACATCAAAATGCTGATAGAATTATGAAATCCAGAAAGGGGACCGTCTGTTAAGAGCCTAATGTATAATTAACTTACAGGTAAGCAATCATTCTTACTTTGTTCTTTTAAAAAAGTTAGTAAATTCTTTATTATGCAGTTGAAGCTTTTACTGTTCAGGTGATATGTTATTCATTGAAACATTTAGTAGATGATTTCAGACTTTTTATACTAGTGCTATCCAATAAACTTGGAATATAAGCCACACATACAGAATTTGTGAATTTTGTGGTACCCATATTCATTTTTTAGTAAGCCACAGGAGAAATTAATTTTAATAACACATTTAAACCAATATATTCAAAATTTTATTATATAATCAGTTTAGCATACTGTTAATAAGATATTTTATATTCTTTTTCCATTGAGTCTTCAAATCCTGATGTGTCTTATCACCTCATCCCAAAGGAGCCGCATTCAGGGCTCAGTGCTGTGTATGGCCAGTGGCTTCCTCCTGGATGGCACAACTCCATAAGCCACCAGCAATGGACAGAGGGGCATTTGTACAGCCTTGATGAAGTGGGGTGGAAAAAACTGGGCAAATTAAGAGCATTTGTTCCTCAGGGGCCTATACCTGAGAACTTCCAAAGTTTCTGTTAACTTATTATTAATTAGTGGGTACTTCTCTGATTTATGCTGCTTTAAAGGAAGAAAGTATTTTTGGAGTGACTTAAACTGATATTCATTTTAGATTTTTCTTCAGTGTATCAAAAGGTGGAAGTTTGCCAGAGATTATAATTTTGAATTGGTTCTACCAGAATTGGGCTTTTTAAGCCATTGTCACAGTGGGAGATAAATTCACCTGTGGGCATTTGTAGTGGTTTGACTGTTGCCTGAGGTAAGGTAGTTCTTACCATCTTCTGGAGTAAAGAAAATCATCAGTGATTTGTTATTGAAATCACCTCTTTTTCTTTGGAATGCTATTAATAGGTGGCTACAGTGTCAGAAAAGTCGCGGATAATGGAATTAGAGAAAGACCTAGCTCTGAGAGCACAGGAAGTGGCTGAGCTCCGAAGAAGGCTGGAGTCCAGTAAGCCTGCTGGGGACGTGGATATGTCACTTTCCCTTTTGCAAGAGATAAGCTCTTGGCAAGAAAAGTTAGAAGTCACCCAGGCTGACCATCAGAGGGAAATAACTTCTCTGAAGGAGCACTTTGGGGTCCAGGAAGAGACATATCAGAAGGAGATAAAGGCTCTGCACACAGCCACAGAGAAACTTTCCAAAGAGAATGAGTCCTTGAGGAGCAAGCTTGACCATGCCAACAAGGAGAATTCAGATGTGATAGCTTTGTGGAAGTCCAAACTGGAGACTGCCATTGCGTCCCATCAGCAGGCGATGGAGGAGCTGAAGGTGTCCTTTAGCAAAGGGGTTGGGGCAGAGTCCGCTGAGTTTGCTGAATTAAAGACGCAAATAGAGAAACTGAGAGTAGATTACCAGCACGAAATAGAAAATTTACAGAACAAACAAGACTCTGAGCGGTCTGCGCACGCTAAAGAGATGGAAGCCCTAAAGTCTAAACTGATGAAGATCATTAAGGAAAAGGAGACCAGCCTGGAAACCATCCAGTCCAAACTGGACAGAGCAGAAGACCAGCACCTAGTAGAAATGGAAGACGCCTTAAACAAATTGCAGGAAGCTGAAATAAAGGTAAAGGAGCTAGAGGTACTGCAAGCCAAATACAGTGAACAAACCAAGGTCATTGATAATTTTACATCACAGCTAAAGGCTGCCGAAGAAAAGCTCTTGGATCTTGATGCACTTCGGAAAGCCAGTTCCGAAGGTAAATTGGATATGGAGAAACTTAGACAGCAGCTTGAGGCAGCTGGGAAACAGATTCAAAATTTAGAGATTGAAAAGAATGCTGAAAGTGACAAGGTTTGTATCGAAGTCCTCCATTTTTTTTTTTTTTCTTCTCTGTTGGTTTTTCTTATTTTGCATTGTATGTTACTTTTGAGTTGAGGTCATTCATCCCCCAAATTCCTTATTTAATGAAAACAAATTGTGTAGCGCTCCTAATTGAATATAATATATAGTGTCTTCTTAGGATTTCAAGTATGGTTTCATGTGTGGAGATTGGAGAAAATAACTGCCCAACTGGTTTAGTTTATTTTGGTTCCTTGAATCTGGGTACTTTATCTACCACTTCATCTCTAGACTATGATGTGAACTCCTGTGTAAGCTTAATTCTAGTCTATACTCTGTTTAAATAGAGAACTCCCTGTGATGGTGGGGTTAGGTAGATGAATGGATGAATAAGATAAAAACATAAGTTTGTCTCCTCATTTCCCACCCACATCACTGCCTTGTCTGTAGGATTATATATAAAAACAGTGTGAATAGTCTGAGTGCTTCTAGACTATTGTGAATGAACATTTGTGATAAATAACATTCACAGAAGGTCAAGAGCTCAGAGCCCTTTGCATTGCCACTTACGTTGCATTGAAGTTTTCTTCCATGCCACAAGCAAACGATCTGGCCCCTGCTTTTTTGGGGGGTGAGGGAAGGGGATTAAACCCAAGTGCGCTTAACCACTGAGCTACATCCCCAGCCCCCCCCCCCCTTTGTAGTTGTAGATGGACAGCATGACTTTATTTTATTTATTTTTATGTGGTGCTGAGGACTGAACCCAATGCTCCTCACTTGCTAGGCAAGCGCTCTACCACTGAGCCACAACCCAGCCTTTATTTTTTATTTTGAGATAGGGTCTCACTAAGTTGCTTAGGGCCTCTCTTAAGTTGCTTAGGCTGACCTTGAACTTGTGATCCTCCTGCCTCAGGCTCTCATTACAGGAATGTGCCACTGCTCCTGGCCTATCCCCTGCTTTTTTGAGGGAAGACAAGTATGCTTATGGCCAAGACATAGAAACTATTATGAACCATCAGCCAGCTCCATTTCTTAGTAACTAGCCTTGTTACGTGTCTTATTTATTTTTAAGGACTGCTTGAAGAGATCTCTTCAGTCCTACCATGGTTGAGGTGGTGGTACTGATGCTGAATGCCCTGAGCTTTTTGTGGGAGAAGCTGCTCCCACAAAAGAAGAAAGGGTTGTCTTGGTTAAATGGGGAGAGGTGAGGACAGACAAACAGCAGATGTTGCTATTACCTGTAGTTGAAGATGACAAGGCTGTGGAAATTTTCTCTAATCTCCTCATGTGGTTCCAAAACACCAATCAAAACACAAACATTAATTAGAAGAGAATAAGTAACTAATGGTTGGGTCACTTTTTTACGTCAAGATTTAATGAAAGCCAAGTTCTGGTGGCTATTGTCTAGTGGATTTCCAAATTTGTTTTGAATGTATATTTATAAAAGTATGGAAAAATACAGACCACATGCACCCACCATCCCTATTTTAAGGTTTTTTGTTTTTTTCCTTGTTTTTTAAATGATGGGGATGACCCAGGGCCTCCCGCATGCTGAGGTTAGGCTGTATTGCAGAGCTGCACTCTCGGCATTAAGGTTTTTAACATCCAGGAAGTAAATTGGTCAAGGAGCTCATTTAGGAAGTAAGCATTGGCACTTTGTGCTTCAAATTTTGCTGGTACTCAATTTTAGGTGTGGGCAAATAGTGTATTTTGATTAAAAAAAAAAGCCATTAGACAGATGATCATATCTAGAACTGATTATTTGAAAAGTCATTGGCATCTTAGAATTTTAAAAACCCCTTTTTATTCCTTTCAGTTTTGTTTTGTTGTGTTTGTTTCTTATAATTTTTTTTATATTTGTTTTGTTTTTTCCTTATCATTCTTTTTGTTTCCTTTTTGTTCATTTGCTTCTATACCATGTAACTCTGTGTGTTAGGCTAGTAGCATTGCCAGAGAGCTCCAGGGAAAAGAGCTAAAGCTTACTAACCTTGAGGAAAATTTGAGTGAAGTCAGTCGAGTGAAAGAGGCTTTGGAAAAAGAACTGCATATTTTGGTAAGTACCTATTGGGAACCTGATTCTCAGGATTTCTGGCCATTTTCTAATCTTGTTGTTGTTTTTTAAATCTCCATAAAGAGAAAGATTAAGCTATTTCTTTTCTCCTTCAAAATGCCTATTTAAATTGAGTGTATTGGCTATTGGCTGATAAATATCTTGAGGGGAATTGGATTAAACAAACCGGCAGTAATGGTAGGTATACTTTTCTTTTTCTCTTGCCTTTGGTAAAGCACTGCTTTGGAACGTTACTCACTGTTTAGCTTTGCTGAACCTGGAGCCCTGCCTAGTTGCAAACCCAGCACTTTAGGTTTCTTTGCTGGTGAGGCTATGTCTTGTGCTGTGCCTTCACCTCCTGCTTTGTGACCTTGCTGGGCAGCAGCAGCCCAGCTATTCTGGTCTTCAGTGCCCTCCACTGGTTATAACTTACTGTATTCAACCTTAGGTAATTACTGTCTTTTTCATATTTCCTCTTAATTCCAGATTTTGAAACAGATTTTTTTAACCTTTTCTCAATTTTTTCCCCTCCTACTTTGCCTTCTACACCAAAAAACCTGATCTTAATCAAAGCTGGTAATGGTGAACAGGGGCTGTGGTACTCATGTGTCATGGAAGAGGAAAGTCATAAACCTATGAAGAAACTAGACAAGAGAAATGGTAGCTACTCAGAGTCTGTTGTTCCAGCTCTTCCACAGCCTACCTTCCTGTTCCCCACTTGCTATACTTCTCAGCTAACCACAGTGGTAAACAAAAAAAGTATATGATTTGATTTTTTTTTCCTTTTTTTTCTTTTTGGTTACTATGGATTGAAGTCAGGTTATTTTAACATTGACACATCAAGCCCTTTTTATTTTGAAAAAGTGTCTTGTTAAATTGCTGAGACTAAACTCAAACTTGGAATCCTCCTGCTTTAGCTTCTTGAGTTGCTGGGATTACAGGTGTGCACCACTGCGCCTGGCTATGATTTCTTATCTAAATGTTACAGATTTCTACTTTTTTTTTTTTTTTGAGTACCAGGGATTGAACTCAGGGGCACTCAACCACTGAGTCACACCCAGCCATTTTTTGTATTTTATTTAGAGACAGGGTCTCTCTGAGTTGCTTAGTTCCTCGAGGTTGCTGAGGCTGGTTTTGAACTTGTACCTGCATGCCTGGCTCTACTTTTTTATGATAATTATACAGCCACACTTTTCAATGGTGGCTACTATGCACATAAAATTAAATGAATTAAAAATAAAATTGAAATTTAATTCTGCTCTTATACCAGCTACATTTTCAGTGCTCAGTAGCTGTATGTGGCTAAAGGCCAAAGAGCAGTTGAGAACATTTTCACCATCATACAAAGTTCTGTTGGACAGTTCTGGCATATAATTTTTTAGCTATATTTTGTGAAGAAGTTGACTTGGAAATCACCCTTTTGTGATTTGGTATCCTTTAAGAAAATGTTTTGAGTTCCCCATTTCTCTGTCCCCTTCCTACACTTTCAGGATGCCTTGGTTTTTTCCTAAATCAGAGTATCCCTCTATTTGCTCTTTGGAGAATACAAGCCACCTCAAGTCTGGCTTTGGGAATAACACAAACCAGCATTCTAAGGGTTTTGATGGACTTTGGTTTGTATGTCCATCTTTTAGTAATCTTAGTTAGAAATATTCATTTAAACATTCTCTGAGATAATCAGTTCAAAATTAATCTCAGAACAGCCATGATAGTTATTTTATCTTGGCTTGTTGTCATGTGTAGAAAAGGAAACCTTGAACAAATTTCTGAGACTGATCTAGAATCAAGATGTTAGACCTGAATCTAGTTAAATTTCTCAGGTTATTCTCAGAAATAAAGAAATCCAGAACTTTTTACTGTCTCAAGCAGCCTTCTGAACAGAAAGTTGTTATTTGAGTGTAAGCAATGTGACAAAGCATGCGCAGGCACCACATGTGTATGCCTATGTGTACATCTACGTAAGTGAATAAGTTCCTACCCTTGGTACAGGGATACACACACACTGCGCATGCACGGGCCACACATGCCTCACTTACTTGTATGTATACATGCACTTGTGCACGGTACACCTTTGGCAGTAATTGGTACTTGTATGTTTTAATGAAACAAAACCAGCAACACAATGTAGACAGTATTGTGGTTGTAACTGATACCTTTTATCATTTGAAATCTCTCTTCTGATTATCTGGTTCTTTTTTTTTTATTATTATTAAGAAAGAAAAATTTGCTGATGCTTCGGAGGAGGCAGCCTCTGTCCAGAGAAGTATGCAAGGTATGTTTCATGACAGTATGATCAGGTCACCTTAGGGCACGTCACACTGCCCCACTGGAGCTGGCCGCTCAGTACACCTTTTCCACAGTCTAATCTCATTGTCCAGGCATTGCCAAGCGCGCAGGAATGCACTATTCTATTGGCTTCCCCAATTTTCACACTCCTAAGTAATTCTTTTTTTCTTTTGGCTTAAGGTTTAGTCCGTAATACAATGTAAGTATTCCTGGGGAAAGTATTACCTTGTTTGAGGTTTAGTCATTGATAGCTAATTGAGTTTTATTTGGAAGGAAGAAAGAGATGTGGGAAAAGGCTCCGGAGCCTGCCTGAGATGCACATGTTGGAGGGAGAGAGCGACGCTTCTTCCGCAGCGTTCTGAGGGGATGCCTGGAGGTGGCGCAGCGGTTTGGGAGGGTGAGGCAGGATGGTTTCGAGTTCAAAGCCAGCCTCAGCAAAGCGAGATGCTAAGCAACTCAGTGAGACCCTCTCTCTAAATAAAATACAAAATAGGGCTAGGGAATGCGGTTCAGTGGTCGAGTGCCACTGAGTTCAATCCCCAGTACCTGCCTCCCCCCCCACTACCCCCTCCAAACAAACAAACAAACAAAAAACCTAAGGGGACATTTCAGCATTCCTGGGCTGTCAGATCTCACAGGCATAGAACTGATTGGCTTGTAAGACAGTCAAGCTCTAGATAGCCTATTAAATATGAAATATAGTAAACTTTTAACTTTATTCTAAATAGAAACTGTAAATAAATTGCACCAAAAGGAAGAAGAGTTTAACATGCTGTCTTCTGAATTGGAGAAGTTAAGAGAAAATTTATCAGGTAAGAAACCTCTGGTTCCTAAGCAGTAAATACAGTAGGTTTCCAAGGATTCGAGATGGCTGTCATGTGCCTCAGTGACATATCTGCTGTTGAGGCATGACCTCTTGGTATAATGGGTGGATACTTATTTGCCATCTGTGACCCCAACAAGTCCTCTGCTCTGTCCTCAAAAGAGCCCAGATCCACCACTCCCATCACTCCCATGGCCAGCCTTGACCCCAGCCCAAATCGTCTTTAACTGCTGACCACTTGCTCCTTGTTAGTGCCTTGCCTCAACTTGTGGTTCCCAGTGCAGCAGCCGGAGAGTGAGCCTTTGAGTGCGAAGTCAGGTCCCATCACCTCTGTCTTCGAGACCTTCAGGCATCTTGCTCACTAAGAGCTGTGGTCCTTACCCCAGGCAGGCCCATTCCTCACGGTCTCGCCCTGGACTCCTCTACCCCTTGCTCCTTCCACCCTGGCCACCTGAGCCTTTGCTGATATTGGACCCAGCAGACATGTTCCTGCCTCTGAGTCTTTTGCACTTGACTTTCCTTCTTCCTTCATTTTGGTCTTTACTTAAATGTTCCCATCTCAGAGAGGCTTCATCTAGAATTTTAACCTTCCCAGCTCCATTCTCTGCTTTTAGTTTTCCCCTTAGCATTTATCTCTATTACATTATTATTTTCTTTATCTTGTTTAATGACTGTCATCTTTGCTGGAATGTGACTTTCTTGAGGGTGGGGCTTGCAATCACCCCCAGAACAAGGTTGTACTCAGTAAATCTTTCTTGCTGTTAACAAGCAGTGCTATTTTTTTTTCTATATATGTTTAGATATGGAGGTGAAATTTAGAGAACGAGATGAAAAAGAAGAGCAGTTGATAAAGGCAAAGGAAAAATTGGAAAATGACATTGCCGAAATAATGAAGATGTCAGGAGATAATTCTTCTCAGCTGACGAAAATGAATGATGAATTACGTCTGAAAGAAAGGTCTGTATGAACATGAAGAGAATGAGTGCCCGCTTTAGGTTACACTTTGTAGCAGGATCTATACACAGAGGGACCACAGGGTTAGAATTGCAGTGTTTTAAGATTTGTGTGTCCTATTCTTTTTTTCCTTACCTGTGTGTGTGTGGGGCAGGCGGGGGCTGGGGTGTGTGTGGTGTGGGGGGTTGAATCCAGAGCCTTGCGCATGCTAGGTGAGTGCTCTGCCACTGAGCTACACACATAGACCTTTGTTCCTTTCTGTTACAACCTCAGTTTGTCCTGAATCAGCTGGTTTTTTTTTGTTTTTTAATTTTTACTATAGGTTTTACCTATATCACTTGTCGAGAGAGGATGGAGTTAAGGAATACAATATTATTTATAGACTTTTTGGTGATTTGCAAAGAAATGGCAATAACATTTTTTACAGGCAGTTAAAGGTATTTTTAACTTCAAAGTAATGACAGGTAACACTTAGTGAAGAGTTTACTTTGTGCCATGCACTATATTGACAGCTCATATGGAGTGCATTTTCTAATTCTCATAGTAACCTGATGAGGTGAGTAGTATTCTTTTTTTTTTTTTCCTTTTAATACTAAGGATGAAACCCAGGGCCTCACACTTGCTTAACAAGTAATCTACCTCTGAGCTGAGCTGTCTCCCTTTTTATTTTTTAAGACAGGGTCTCACTAGGTTGCCCAGACTGGCCTTGAACTTGTGATCCTCCTGCTTCAGCCTCCCGAGTAGCTGGAATTACAGGCCTACACTACTTGTTATTAACTATCTTATTATTCCTATTTTTTTTTAATTTTTTTTTTTTGAGACAAATTGACAGCTTTGATATTTGGGTATTTCTGTGTCTTTTTTTTTCTAAAGACAGAGAGAGACAGAGAGAGAATTTTAATATTTATTTTTTAGTTATTGGCGGACACAACATCTTTGTTTGTATGTGGTGCTGAGGATCAAACCCGAGCCGCATGCATGCCAGGCGAGTGTGCTCCCGCTTGAGCCACATCCCCAGCCCTATTATTCCTATTTTAAAAAAGAGAAACTGGGAACCCAGACTTCCTGGGGTTGAGTAACTTGCCTGTGGTTTCAGATTTGGCTACCTGGACCCCTGTTGCTCTTGCTACATGGTACTTTCTCAGTCTTGAGGCTTAATGTCTGTTCTTGTCTTTGTTATGAGGTTCTTATTGCTTTGGGTTTTTTTTTTTTCCTACATAGGCTCTCAAAATTTATTTATTTATTTATTTATTTTTTAGAGAGAGAGAGAGAGAGAGAATATTTTAATATTTATGTTTTAGTTTTTCGATGGACACAACATCTTTGTTTGTATGTGGTGCTGACGAATGAACCCGGGCCGCATGCATGCCAGGCGAGCGCGCTACCGCTTGAGCCACATCCCCAGCTCTCAAAATGTTTTTTATACAGCAGAAACTTCTCGACAGTATTTTTGAACCATTAGAATTCTACTTCTCAAAGTGTTACAACTTGGAAAATGACAGGTACACCATCCATTCACCCCCACACACTTCAGAGGTAGTGGTGATTGGTGACCAGGCCTGCTGTGAGGGAGGTATGCTGCACAGGTGTTATACAGGTAGAATCGAGAGGTGCCTACATGTTGCTTCCTGTGTTCTATGATTCATTCAGTAGCCCGTCTTCCTGGAAATGTCCATGCTTTCCATACATCCTTTTCCAGCCACACAGTTCTCTTTAAGCAAGAAATTCCAAGCTTTTTATTGCCGTTTTTGCATTCTTCCCAAGAGGTATTTTAACAAGTTTTTGGTAATCTAGTCTGCTGAAAAAATTCATTTTCTTTAACATGTTTATTTTTCACTATGATCTAAACATAAAATAATCTTCACATTGTGGTAGTTTTCACTCTAAATAAAATATTTAGAACTATCATAGTTGTTAAAATTATTTAAGCAGGTGATTTTTTTTTAATTTGCCTAGTTCAGGTATTAATTACTCATAAATTTTATAATCATTATATAATTGTTATTAATAGTATACTTTTAATGTAATTCTTAAGTTTAAAACATTCTTATGACCTGGCACCTTGTATTAAAACTTTTTTCCAGATGTGTGGAAGAATTACAGCTAAAACTTTCAAAGGCCAATGAAAATGCGAGTTTTCTTCAGAAAAGTATTGGGGAAATAACTCTTCAAGCCGAACAGAGCCAGCAGGAAGCAGCCAGAAAGCACAAGGAAGAAAGGAAAGAATTGGAGGAAAAATTGTTGGACCTGGTAAGGAGAGAGCAAGTGGGACTGCTGGCTGGCACAGAGGGCAGGGTGATCCTGATTGGGCCAGATGATTCATTCCTTCCCTTGGGGTCTCTGCAGGAAAAGAAGGTGGAAATGAGCCACAACCAGTGTCAGGATCTGAAATCCAGGTATGAAAAGGCCAGTTCTGAGACGAAAACAAAGCATGAAGAAATCCTGCAGAACCTACAGAAGGTGCTGCTGGCCGCGGAGGAGAAGCTGAAGGCTGCCCAGGAGGAGAACAGAGGCCTGATGCAGGAGATGGAGGACCTGAAAGTACAGGCTGACAAAGCCAAAGTAGGTCCTTGGGGTGTGCTGTCGTGGCATTACAGCTCGCACCAAGGCTGCAGTTGCTTTGAAAGCAGTGGCAGATGCGAAGCTTGAGCTGAACTTCACAAATGTTAACCTCTCTGGACGGCAGGGTGGTGGATTGCATTTCAGGTCACTTCAAGCTTTTTGTACCAGGTACTCTTCCTTCTCAGGATGGAGATGGCTGCAGGTCTTTCCCCTGGATGTATTATGTAGCCATCACCACCCCCTTTGCTGCTTGTTCCTAGTTGGCACAAAGCATCCCATGCTGCCGGAGCTGTCTGCCTGCTTGTAGTAGTTTCCCTGGTGTGGGAAAAGTGTCTTCCTCTCCTCTTGGCTGAGCCTGCTGCCACCCTGCACTGGGGTTAGGAGAGGCAAGCTGCCGAAAAGCAGAAGGCAGAGCAAGGCCACACATGAGCCAGCAGTTAGAAATGGAGAGAGCCTTCTTGGACAAACAGAGCTCTTGAAGGAAGAACTAGAACTCTGGATGCCTGGCACAGGGCACACACCTCTAATCCCAGCTACTTGGGAGGCTGAGGCAGGAGGATCAAAATTTCAAAGCCAGCTTTAGCAACTTAGATTTGGTCTCAAAATGAAATTTAAAAAAGGGACTGGAGATGTAGCTAAGTAATAGAGCACTTGCCTAACGTGTGAGACCTGGGTTCAATTCAGGTTTAATTAACCAAAAAAAATTTTTTTTTTTTAACCAGAAAAGGACGAATTCCAAGAGGGCTTATCAACAAGGAAGCTGGGCTCAAGGGCAGTGAGGAAACATCCTCTTAGTGAATAGAGTAGAACTTGATATATTGAATTTCAGTTTATGGTGTTCAGGTTGCCTCTCTGCCCCAATATTTTCTTTGACGCTGGTAACTTAACTTCCTACTACAATTGAACTTTTTTATTGCTCAAAGAAAAGTAAATACTTATCTTTGTGTGTTTTTAAAGTTTTAGAGAAATGTTTATGTAGGAATTTAGTAGAAATAAATTAAAAAATAACTTGAGACAAATCCTATGGAAAACTTCCTGCTGATTAAGGTCGTATGACATAGTGCGTGTCAAACACAAGAGGCAGCAGCTTCCCTCTGCCTGTGCTGGCTGTAAGTCTCCCTCTTCTCAGTAACTCTCCAGTTTTATATGAGCCATTTAGCACTGGTTATGGCTCCCCAACTTTTGTTTGTGTGGTTCCTTTATTTTAAATATTTTTTTTTTTAAAGAGTGAGAGAGAGGGAGAGAGAGAGAGAATTTTAATATTTATTTTTTAGTATTTGGCGGACACAACATCTTTGTTTGTATGTGGTGCTGAGGATCGAACCCAGGCCGCACGCATGCCAGGCGAGCACGCTACCGCTTGAGCAACATCCCCAGCCCCTATTTTAAATATTTTTTAAAAATTTTTTTTAGTTGTAGATGGACACAATGCCTTTATTTTATTTATTTTTATGTGGTGCTGAGGATCGAACCCAGGCCTCACATATGCTAGGCAAGTGCTCTGCCACTGAGCCATAGCCCCAACCCTGTGCAGTTCCCTTGATCTGGACTCGACTTCGAGTTTTTTAGTGTTTCCTTTAACTTGTGGTAGTCTGACCATACCACGGCATTTTTTTTGTTTTGTTTTAATATTTTTAAAAATTTTTGTTGTATTCATTGTGGTCAAATTATCTTATAAATCAATATATTTTTAAAAATCTACTCAATCACCATAGCCTAGAAGTTGTTCTGTATTTAATAAATTACTGGGGCTAAGCCACACTCAGCCCAGTGACTCTCATTTTGGCAAAGTCATGCAGTTAGGTTGAAAAGCAGCAGTTTATTTTCCCTTGCTGTCGTCCTCTCCCTTGTATTTGGTTAATATATACTCATTTTTTGTTTATTTAAATTTTTTTCTATAAATCCTTTCTATAATAGCAATAATTAGATAATTGGAATGGCAAGAGAGAATCTTATGCCCTGATGCCAAAATCAAGCTACTCTTTTTATTTTCTAGGGAGTTATCAGGTTGTTTCAAAGAAAACCAGCGAGTAGATTTATAAGCATGTTGCAAAGCTAACTTTGCTTTGTATCATCCCTTTATGGGCTATTTCTCTGGTTTCTTCCCCTTATTCACATAGTTTCTATTAAGTTTATGGTAGAAAATTTTTTACCATGTAGGCTACATTAAGTTATTTGGGCTTGCATTTGTCTGCTTGATTTCATTTTTGTTTCCATTCTTTCCATCTTCTGTTTCTGTAGTCGCTAACTTATTTGTTAACATCAGCCAAAAAAGAAATTGAACTAATATCAGAAGAACTGAGGGGTCTGAAATCAGAGAAGCAGCTTCTTGCTCAGGAGGGGAATGCTTTAAAGTTAGAAAAAGGTTCGCTTTTATCAAAGCTTGTAGAAGTGGAGGCCAAAATGACTTTGCTTCAGGAAGACCAGCAGAAACTGTGGTCAGTAAATGAAACTCTTAATTTAGAGAAGGAGAAAGTCTTAGAAGAAAAACAAGATGTTGAAAAGCTTTACCAGCAGGAACATCTCCATAAAGAATCTTTGGCTGTTGAGAGAGAGAAATTGCTTAAAGAAATCAATGTTGCACAGGAAGAACTCTTAAAGATACATAGGGAGAATGACTCTTTGCAAGCTTCCAAGGCAGGTGTGCAGGTGCTCATTGATGAGCTCCGGTTCCTCAAAGATACCATGACAGCTGAGTCGGAGAAGGCGAGGGCAGAAAAAAACCACCTGGAGGATCAGATCAAGAAGCTTACTGCAGAAAATCTCCTCTTAGTAAAAGATAAGGATGACATGATTCAGAAGCTTCAGAGCGCTTATGAGGAGCTAGTCAAGGATCAAAAAGCTTTGGTCCAGGAGATTGAAGAGCTCACGTCAGAGAAGAAGTCAGTGGTAGAGAAGAAGTCAAGCCTTGATAATGCATGCCTGGTCCTGAAAACAGAACGAGATGACCTCCTCCAGAGAAACAGAGACCTACAATTTGAGAAGGACGTGCTGCGTCAGGGTCAGGAAAAGCTGAATGCCAACTTGGAGGCTGCCCTCCAGGTCAAGCAGCTGCTCAGCACAGAGGCTGGGACGCTGCGCACGCAGCTGGACTGTGCCAGCAAAGCACTGAGAAAGGCTGAGCTGGAGACAAGGCAACTTCAGGCCACCAACACAAGCCTCACAAAGCTCCTGGAGGAGATTAAGACCAGTCGAGCGATCACAGACTCTGAGTGCATCCAGCTTCTCCACGAGAAAGAGACTTTGGCAGCCTCTGAAAGGAAACTCCTGGCCGAGAAGGAGGAACTTCTAAGTGAAAATAGGAATATCGCTGAAAAATTCAGCAAGCGCTCGGAAGAAGCCACCCATGTTGAGAAGAGCCTGAATGAGAAGATCACATACCTAACTTCTGAGAAAGAGATGGCTTGTCAGAAAATAACTAAGCTTAAAAAGCAACAGGAGAGTCTCTTGCAAGAAAAATCAGCCCTGGAAGTGCGAAATGGAGATTTACTTGCAGAGAGAGAAAGTTCCATCAAAGCCATAGGAGACCTTAAAAGGAAATATGATCAAGAGGCTGCAAACAAAAGGATAATTGTGCATGAGAAGATGAAACTACTCAGCAGTGTTGATGCTCTGAAAAAAGAACTTCTAGAGAGAAAAAGGGAAAACCAAGAACTGGTGACCAGTAAGTGTGACCTTTCTTTGATGCTGGAAGAGGCTCAAAATGCCAAAGAGAATCTTGAAAAAGAACACACCAATATGATGCAAGCAAAGGAGAATCTGAATGCTGAGCTTAAGACTTGTTGCTGTGAAAAGAACATTTTGCTGAGGGATGGCTTGAACCTGCAAGAAGAATGTCAGAAGTTAAACAAGACGATCCATGAAATGCAGCAGTCCTTAATGCTGGAAAAAGAAGCCAGAGTGAAGGAAAACGAGTCATCCTTATATGAAAACAATCAACTCCACGGGAGAATGGTGCTCCTGCAGCAGGAGGTAGAGGAGTTAAGAGTGTGTACTGAACAGCTCCAGTCTGAGAAATTCACACTAATCCAAGAAAAGACTAAATCGGAGCAAAAGGTGGTAGAGATCATTAAAGAAAAGGAACTCTTGAGTATGGAAACAGCTCAGCTCGCTGCCAACATAGAGACCCTGAAAAGCGATTTTGCTACCTTGTCTAAGTCCAAGTTGGAACTGCAGGAGCTGCACAGCTGCCTCTCCAAGATCCTGGGTGACCTCCGGCTGAACCATGAAGTGACTGTGGCTGAGAGAGCCCAAGTGATACAAGACAACAAGAACCTTCTGGCTGAGAAAAGAGAGCTGATGCTTAGAAAGGATGAGATCCTGAAGGAGAAGGAAAAGCTGGAAGAAAGCTACTTCATTCTCCAGAAGGAGATTAGCCAGCTGGCCCAAACCAATAGCCACATTTCAGCCAACCTCCTAGAATCTCAGAGTGAAAACCGTACTTTGAGGAAAGACAGGAGCAAGCTTACCCTTAAAATTAGAGAGCTTGAGACTCTTCATTCATTTACGGTAAAGTGAGAGGTTCAAGTATCAAGATCTCAGACTCCTTACTAACCCTGTGCATTAACATTAGTGGCTTAGTTGATTTTTCCTTATTGTTACTTATGCAAATTCACCTCATTAAATGGGTTGCTTTTATGTTTCCAATTGTTCGTTATGGTCCGCAAGGGCATTTATTTATTAAATGCCTGAGTGCAGACGTCTTACCCCATTTGGGAAGAAGTTGCAAACTGTGAATAAAAAGGATTTATTTATTTATTTATTTATTTTTAAAAAAGAGAATTTTTTTTAATATTTATTTTTTAGTTCTCGATGGAC